GTGGGCCACCCAAGCTGGGCAAATTTGACGGCTCAAAATCGTGACCATTTATCGCCTCCGGCGTGTTCCGCGGGCCACCCCGGAAAGAGCTACCCTGCAAGCCGCAGACAGCGCTTGCACATGCCAAGCAAGAACATAGTTTTTGCATGTTGTGATGTGTTTTGTAAAAACATATGGTGTTTGTGTAAAGCACTGTTTTTGTGTCAAACAACGTTTCGTGTAAAACATGGTTTTGAGGCAAACATTGTTTTTGTGTAAACCACGGTCAAAGTTTTAAACCAAAACATGTCTGTAAAATAGCCGTATATACACGGTTACTTGTCTAAAAGGTGTTCTGCACAAGCCACCTATATCAAGTATTGCATATAAGAAATAATTATAAGAACGACTGAGTAAACCGACGGCAAACAAAGAGTTAAGCCCAGCACATCGTAACGAAAGATGAAGACGGAAAGCACGAAGAGGACGATGGCGACGAAGACGAAGCAAATATGACGAGGCAAAAAGAGTTTAGGCAAAGACAAAAGACAAAACAGACAGTACAACTACGAACAAGCAAGATCCACAAGACACGCCGGCAGGCCGGTGGATTACTACCAGACCCTCGATGACCGAGTACACAAATATAGCCTTTGAGCATCTTTGAGCCATTCTCTCACATGATTGCAGGTTGCACCGGAGCATCATTGAGAATCTGAAAGTGGCTCTGAAGGGAGCTTTTTTGGGCGGTCTCTTTTTGAGCACCGGCCATGCGGAACTGTGGAAGCCCCAAGTACAGCAAGTGAGGAAGTAGAGAATACCACAGTGGTGGCAACAGTGGCGACTCTTGCGACAGGATGTCTCCAAGATTTTGCTCTCTTGGGCCTCTCAAAAGGCTTTCTGCAAAGTGAAGTACGTTGCTTGAAATCATGTGTCTCGTCTTACTCCTTCTCGGCTAGTAAGGAGTTTCGAAGCTGCCCCGGCTGAAGCTCAAAGTGATGTGAAGCGCTTCCCTTGTTTGTGACAAGGGACTCATGGCAGCCCTTGCTACAAGGATTGCCGTCCTTTGCGTCGTCCGCAATCACAATGACCAGCAAACCTGCGTTTTCAAGCGGACTACCGCAGCTTGCCAATCGCAAATAGCATGCTGCTATGGACATTGCACCAACTCCTGTTGATAGAGCCTGTGTTTTTATAGATCGCACCATGCGAAGACCTGGTGCTGATTGTGTGTGCACCGGCCGTGGGTCCTGAAGCCGTAGCGACTGCTAGTCATTTAGAGACTCTTACAACCGGGTGTCTCCAAGATGTTGCTCTCTTGGGCCTCTCAAAAGGCTTTCTGCAAAGTGAAGTACGTTGCTTGAAATCATGTGTCTCGTCTTGCTCCTTCTCGGCTAGTAAGGAGTTTCGAAGCTGCCCCGGCTGAAGCTCAAAGTGATGTGAAGCGCTTCCCTTGTTTGTGACAAGGGACTCATGGCAGCCCTTGCTACAAGGATTGCCGGTACCCTTGCGTCGTCCGCAATCACAATGACCAGCAAACCTGCGTTTTCAAGCGGACTACCGCAGCTTGCCAATCGCAAATAGCATGCTGCTATGTACATTGCACCAACTCCGCTTGATGGGAAACATGTCGCTCTGTTGATATTAGAGTCTGTGTTTTTATAGATCGCACCATGCGAAGACTTGGTGCTGATTGTGTGTGCACCGGCCGTGGGTCCTGAAGCCGTAGCGACTGCTCATCATTTAGAGGTTCTTTGCAGCTTGCCACTGAAATACTGAAACTGTTACTGAGTAGGATCCCCATTTGGGGTTCCTGGCTCGGGTCTCGCTCAAAAAACAGCCATTCGACATACTCCCCAAATTTCTCTCGGTGTAATTGCGGACATTTTCGTGTTGATTCCCAGATTTTCATCTTCCGCCACCTCTGTCATGATCAAAAATTGGGATGGCTGACCATGTCAGGCATCGGATTTTCGTTCATTGAGGTACCCCAAACAAAAAACCTATATCTACGTCATGCGCTGGAATTTCATCATCCATAATGGTTCGGTTTATGCCCAAGGATTGAATATTTTTCGCACTGCCTAGATGATTGGGACTTGAAATTGGGGGCAACAACTTGATCCACCATAGCTCAGCGCGAAATTGTATCCCAACATGTTTGGGAGCCAACCATGGGATCTGAGCTGGTTCAGATCACAGGCCAGAGCCTAAATGCTTCAGACAGGGATCTGTAAGCGAAGGGCATGTCACGCTGCTTCCCAACAACATCAACAACTTACTGCCACAGTTCCACCAGCAGTCATCATTCATTGCTGAATGTGATTCATATTCTGCAAGACGGTGTCGTTAATTTTGAGGCGGCTTGAAATTGCCACATCCTTTAGCTGCCTTTCACTGAAGACGTGCAGTAGCGCGATGTAGGCAACACAATTGTCCCAGGATCCGCCTGACGCTTGCAGTCTCGTCAACTAAAACACCGTATTGATCTTTAGATTCCACAGTACCCGACGTTCGAAACGTTTCAGACATTCCCAATCATCCCTTTGAGGGGCGGTCCCCATGGTTCTGTAATTCGATGCAGCATCATACCCATTAACTGCATGATTGGAGCGTCCTGGGAGTTGCTACAAGGTCTATTGGCGGAAAATTAGGTGAGCACTGTCTGCCCAGTTGCAGCCCTTGTGTGTCGGGAAAGATGCGTCTGCAAAGGCTGCGTGACCACAGTCAAAGCACTTGCCATAGCGTTGTTTTGACCCGATGTAAAGTCCCAATGGGATCCTGACGTTCCAGTTGGAGACATTGTGATCTTGCAAACTGTGCAAAGCCTGGTGCAGGCGTTGATAGTATCCCTTGACCGGCCAAAGACTTGACCCTGCGCGCAGATTGCAGTATGCAGAGGCGGCCGCTTGCGCCGCTCGCTGGTGTCCGCATTTGCCCTGGAAATCCCTGGAAGTGTCCTTAGGTCAGTGTGAATGTTGGCAGGGCAAGTTTGGCAGCAAGTCCCATGGATTGAAGTTGTAACTTGTTGTAACTAGCAAGTCGACTGGATATCTTTGTTGAGCCCTCCCATCCCCTGGTCCAGAGAACAAATATCCTGGAGCAGAACATCATCGTTGTAGACAAAGCTGGCTGGTTTGGCATCTGGCTTCGTTTTGTTTTACAGCATCAAGCGTTGCCAAGTGAATGTGGATTTACTATATTTTGTTATTGTCTCGAGATTGCAGTTTCAAGTCAGTCGCATACAAGAGAGTCAAATAAACAAAAATGCAAAGGCATCCAAACATTTAGAAGAAATTGAGATGCGATTTCACTTAGCTTTTTGACCTGTGCCCGATTTAGGTCAGGTTACCCGAACCATCCTTGTGTCGTTTGCAGCTGCCCCGCCTTGTGCTGTCATATCCTTGCCGAAACAAAGTACATGGCACGCGCGTAATGTCCACAGGCAAAGCACGTGTCACCATGTCACCCACATGTCCTGACTTTAGAGCTGCCAAACACTCGAAATAGCATGCCGACACAACCATTCTCGGAGCTGCAGCAAGCACAGGTAGCACAGATGTCTTGATGAAGTGCATGTGTTAAAGTGTTTTGATAAATTGCACCATGCAAAATTTTGGCGCTGCCCGCTGCCCAAAATCAATGTCCCAGAGACCTAGATGTTGCACACACGACTGCCCCTCGTCGGAGCACGTTCAAACCAGCTTGCAGTTGGAGTTGAGCAGAAGGCGAGAAAGCCAAGAATAGCCGAGCAACATGAAAAGAATAGATCAAAGCACAATACAATAAAGAGGAGGGTGAAACTTGTTCTGATCAAAAATTCCCACAAATTGCACCAGCAACGCAACAAATCACTTACAAGATTTAAGCGAGCCAACAGCAACAGTCCATGCTGACGTTGTACAAGATCAAATCGCTGGCTCTTTTACCTTGCCATGTTGAAGTATGCTCTTGCAGATTCCGACTGCCCGGAGAACATTGTGTGAATGCATTTTTGCTGTTGGATGCGCTTTGGAACCATCGGAAGTGGAACTTGTACGACTAATTGTTGTAACAACAAGGACAAGAAGTTTAAATCATGTCGTGCATGCACTCAAGAACGGTCCGAAGAGAAAAGTGTCCCTGCAAACTGTTCGCCTCTTGCGACTGCGGGCAAAACAAGAGTCGCAGACTTTTCCTGGCTCGATTGCCCTTTAAGTAAGGCCCCAGTACGCAAAGATTGTGGTAATTTAAATATAACATAATATAACTATAACCATCCAATTTTGGCGTGCCTGCTATTGATCCACATCCATTTTGCTGTAAAGACTTCTAATGAACTTAGTGAGTTCTGAATCCCATGACACCAGTTGATGGAAACTGTGAATGATGGAACAGAGAAGGCGCAAGCTTTGTGCTACACTCACATCTCTGAGTACACATGTTCCGAAGAAGCAGCAGAAGCAACCCCTTCCTTGTTGGCAAGTTCAGCTATTTCCTGACTCAACTGAAGCTACAGCCTCTTTCCCAACTAAGACTACCAAAGTGGCTGGCTCAACTTTACTGATTCGTTGTTCTGGTTGCAGCAGGTCAGTTGGGATAAAACATTGGAGAATTATTGCACGCCCACTTGACAAAGCTAGTTTTTGATACAGCACGCTTGAGAAGAACTTGCTGATGTGTGTTCAGAAGACCCAGCGCAGACAACCGCCCCGTCTCAGTCCTCCTGAGCTTGCAGGTGGCCACAGCGGTACTGCCATTTGCTGGAAAAGAAAGATGTCCCTGCCAACCGTTCGCCTCTTGCGACTGCAGGCAAAACAAGAGTCACAGGCTTTTCCTGGCTCGATGGCCCTGTAAGTAGGGCCCCAGTACGCAAAGACTGTGGTAATTTAAATATAACATAATATAACTATAACCATCCAATTTTGGCGTGCCTGCTATTGATCCACATCCATGTTGCTGTAAAGACTTCTAATGAATTAGTGGGTTCTGTATCCCACGACACCAGTTGATGGAAACCATGAAGGATGGAAAGAGTAGGTGCAAGCTTTGTGCTACACTCACATTTCTGAGTACACATGCTCCGAAGAAGCAGAAGCAACCACTGCCTTATTGGTGTCAGCGTTTGCCCACCCTGGTCTTGCCTATCACAGAAGAAAGGTGCCTTGACAAACTTGGCGGCTTTTGTGACTGTAAGCGGGGCAATTGTCACCCACTTTTCCATACCTCTGCTGATGGACACAGTTCTGCACAAGTTGGCCGGCGTTGTCGTTCAGAGTATTACTGGATTCCTTTCATTCACCGCGTCAACCGTGTCAACTTTGAATTTCAATAACTGCGAGACGCAGATTATCACATTTGGGTCTACTACGATGATCCGAAAATATTTGAAGACACATCAGAATTTAGACGGAGTTCATCCAAGTCAGCGCCGCAAAAATGAAAAGGAAGGATACGAAGTTGGGAAAAGCCATGAGAAAGTCCTGCAAAAGTGATCTTCAAAACGGCAGGCAAGCAGTTTCGCCTCATGACATCCTCGCCTTCACACGGCATTTTCTCTTGAATCAGCGGCCAAAATTGACCCTGGTTTTTTCAACACATCTTGCTGTCACCCATCCAGAGTGCTGGAAGACGCTGTGTGCGACGCCAAATAACCTTAGCATCTCCATGTGCGAAGTGATGCCACTTTGCTGTTGCAGCTGTTGCCTTGGCATGCCTTGCCGGGCAACTGTCATAGAGACGTTGGGCTTTGGGAGGTACGTGGAGCCTGTTGCACAGCTGCGTCCATCAACAAAACGAGTTCATGGTCACTGTGGCCATCGTGGTCACTGTGGTCACTACCTCTCAGACGCTCAGATCGGCCAAGCAGCTATGCGATCAAGCCTCTGGGATGTATTTCCTATGATTTCCGATGTATTGTGACTTGGCTGATGAGATGTAAAGGCTGTAAAGGTATACGTAGGTGTTTTTGTTACATAGAATTGTGGCTGTGATGTTGGCCTTCACAAGACCTGTAGTTTACTACTGTAGTCTTGGAGCTTTATTCCCAGCTCATGTGATTGCTGAACTTTCGGAGACTCTTCAAGTTTGTCTCATCTACTGAGCTGAGACGCTGGAGGGTTGGTAAATCATAGTAAATCTATGTAAATCTATGTAAAAATTATAAATATATTTGGGTCACATTGATCTTTGTGAATGATTTCGGCGTTGGCTATGAGCATTCGTGATTTTCATTCGTTCCGAGGCGATGACAGAGGTCAATGGAGTCAAAGGTAACTCACGGTGGCCTCACGGTGCAAGAAAAACTGGGCTCCCGCATGTCGAGTTGGGGAAAGTTGGGGAATATCAATTTGGCTCACGATTCGCATCGCAATGTGGCCACACCAAGGTCGGGGCACGAGTGCGGAACTCGTTCGTTGGGGTCTGGAGTTTGGTCACGGATCGTCTGAATTCGTGGTCAAAACATGGGGTGGTTTCCCGTATTGGAGAACAGTCATCAATCCGTGAAGAGAGGGGTTCATACACATGAAAAATGGATTCCCAATACGGGATGGATGACCCTAACCATTATATACATATCAGTCATATCATGGTTTGCCCCTAGCACGTATGGGTTTTTGGATTTTTGATGGATTCAGTCCCCAAACACCAAAGATACGTGTGCAACACAACATGTTGCAACTGATGTTGCTTGGATGTCGTAAAACCTTGAGGTTTCAGCTGTAGCGCGTGCATAGAGAAAAAGTGTGCTGGAGGTGTTCGTAGCCGGATTTCACTGGCACTGAGCCGCCATAGGGATGAACATGACAAGTGCTGGATGCATTGCGAATCATTGCGACATGTTTGTGATTTGAGGCCTCAAGAGTGAAACCCAAGTTGAGAAAGATGCAGAGAAACTAGACATGATCGTTACGTTCCAATCATGTATTACAATGTATTACAAATTAGTTTAGTACAAAGCATTCCAGGAAGAAAGGTACACGTGGACGCCAAAGCAAACCACTGTATGGTGCAAACAGATTTGCTTCCCGGGATCATTAGTCATCGGAACAAAATCGCAAGATGATTGCTGTCATGATTCATGATAAGCGCAACATCCAGCATTGCAACTGTCTTAGCCTTGCAGCATTGTTCATGTAAAAGTCAAACGTTCCAGCGAGCTTAAAGCTATGCAGTGGCGCATAGGCAAAAGTTTTCCGTTTGCCATGTTTGCCTTTGCTGTTTTACAGCTTGCTCAGAATCGAAGACTCAAACATGCCCAGACTTTCTGTTTTTGATGTCAAAGTCTGTGCAATGTGAGATGCAACACATGAGATTGGCAAATCCAGTGGTAAGGCATGGAGCGGGTGCCTCAGATTTGCTGCTCACAGCTTTCTCAAGGACACCATCCTTCAACATCGATGAGACACTGCCTTGCCTGAAATTGGGTGCACTTGTTTTGTTTTGTTTATTGTTTTTATTCCCCACATCTTTGTGTGGGGTTCTTGTTTTTGATTCTGCATCCCGTCTGTCCTCCCGTCCTCCCGTCGTCCCGCCGCCAGCACAGCTTACTCACACACAACTTGCTCACACACAGCTTGCTCCCACACAACTTGCTCACACACAACTTGCTCACACACAGCTTGCTCACACACAACTTGCTCACACACAACTTGCTCACACAGAACTTGCACACACACACAACTTGCTCACATACAACTTGCTCACACACAACTTGCACACACAGCTTGCTCACACACAACTTGCTCACACACAACTTGCTCACACAGAACTTGCACACACACAACTTACTCACACACAGTGGCAGGCGTGGCACTTGCGTGGCAGGCGTGGCACTTGGAGACATGTAGCTGCACTTTGCGTGGCAGGCGTGGCACTTTGAGACATCCACCTTCGTTTCACGTGGCAGGCGTGGCACATATGGCACTGGGCTGGCTCTGGTGGCGCGCTCGGTTCTCAGCAGTCGCCGTGGTCGCCGCGGCTTTTTGCGTGACAGGCGTGGCACTTGGCGACGTGTAGCTGCAGTTGCGTGGCAGGCGTGACACTTGGAGACATGTAGCTGCACTTTGCGTGGCAGGCGTGGCACTTTGAGACATCCACCTTCGTTTCACGTGGCAGGCGTGGTGCGTATGGCACTGGGCTGGCTCTGGTGGCACGCTCGGTTCCCACGTGCCCGAGTGGTCGCCGCGGCCGCGGCTTTTTGCGTGGCAGGCGTGGCACTTGGAGACACTCATCTTCGTTTCACGTGGCAGGCGTGGCACTTGGTGACATCCACCTTCGTTTCATGTGGCAGGCCTGGTACTCGACTTACTCACTTTGCGTGGCAGCCGTGGCACGTATGGCACTGGGCTAGCTCTCGGTTCCCACGTGCCCGAGTGGTCGCCACGGCTTTTTGCATGGCAGGCGTGGCACTTGGAGACATTCATCTTCGTTTCACGTGGCAGGCGTGGTACTTGGTGACATCCACCTTCGTTTCACGTGGCACTTGACTTACTCACACACAACTTGCTCACACACAACTTACTCACACGCAACTTACTCACGCACAACTTGCACACATACAACTTACTCACGCAGGCGTCGCACTTGGCGATATGGATCGTCACTTTGCGTGGCAGGCGTGGCACGTATGGCACTGGGCTGGCTCTGGTGGCGCGCTCGATTCTCAGCAGTCGCCGTGGTCGCCGCGGCTTTTTGCGTGACAGGCGTGGCACTTGGAGACATGTAGCTGCACTTTGCTTGGCAGGCGTGGCACTTTGAGACATCCACCTTCGTTTCACGTGGCAGGCGTGGCACATATGGCACTGGGCTGGCTCTGGTGGCGCGCTCGGTTCTCAGCAGTCGCCGTGGTCGCCACGGCTTTTTGCGTGACAGGCGTGGCACTTGGCGACATGTAGCTGCAGTTGCGTGGCAGGCGTGGCACTTGGAGACATGTAGCTGCACTTTGCGTTCGTAGCACTTTGAGACATCCACCTTCGTTTCACGTGGCAGGCGTGACACGTATGGCACTGGGCTGGCTCTGGTGGCGCACTCGGTTCTCAGCAGTCGCCGTGGTCGCCGCGGCTTTTTGCGTGACAGGCGTGGCACTTGGCGACATGAAGCTGCACTTTGCGTGGCAGGCGTGGCACTTGGAGACATGTAGCTGCACTTTGCGTTCGTAGCACTTTGAGACATCCACCTTCGTTTCACGTGGCAGGCGTGGCGCGCTCGGTGGCGCGCTCGGTTCTCAGCGGTCGCCGTGGTCGCCGCAGCTTTTTGCGTGACAGGCGTGGCACTTGGCGACATGTAGCTGCACTTGCGTGGCAGGCGTGGCACTTGGAGACATGTAGCTGCACTTTGCGTGGCAGGCGTGGCACTTTGAGACATCCACCTTCGTTTCACGTGGCAGGCGTGGCACGTATGGGCGTGGCACGTATGGCACTGGGCTTGCTCCACACCAATCCTTCACCATCTCTTTTCCCTTTCCTGCTTTCCCCATGCCATCTTGACCTTTCTTTTGCTGCTTGTTGGAAGAAGTTGACATGTGGGGTTATCCGGTCCTTTAATTTATTTTTCAGTCTGGGGAATTTGTCCTTGCTATTTGGAGCTAAAAATTTATCTCTTTTTGCTGCATGTTGTGGCTAAAATCTGTCATTTGCACTGTTCACCGATTTTTCAATGGCTTTCATTCATTCTTCCATAGATTTCATCAATCTCTCCATGGTTTTCATTTATTGTTCCATCGAATTGATCGATTTTTCTGTGTTGTTCACTGTTTTTTGCATGATGTTCATCGATTTTTGCAGGTATTCATTGATTGTTCCATGTTGTTCATCGATTTTTCCATGGTGTCCATTGATTTGTCCATTGGTTTTATCGATTTACCGCTGGTTTTCCCAACCAGTTCGGGGATGATATATGGACAATGAATTGATGTAGTAAATAAGAACTATGATGAAGATCAATAGATGAATACATAATTATACTGTACATATATATTATATAATTCATATATATATATATAAATATATAATAGAATAGATATATATAATATATACATGCATGTATGAACGGAGCAGCCTTCCACAAGGTCACTGGACCGAGGTCCAAAGCGCCGATGTCGCCGGATGTCGCTGTGCCGGCCGTTCGGAGTGCCTGGCTGCGTTTGTGACCCTGATATTCCCTAAGGAGCTGACTTCGATTTATGGCCAGGTAGAGGTTAGTTGAACAACGCAGGTGGCAATCATAGCACAACCTTTTCTGAAGGGTTTCAAGGTTGTTTTGCAGGGAGTTTGTAGAGGGTTTTCGCAGCATTTTGCGCATCCGATCTTGCATCATAGGCTAATTATAGGTTTATTGTTTCTCAAATGTCTGCTGGAGACCACTCAAACCGCACTAGGATATGTAAGAACCATACATGTTTGAGAATTCAACATGAAAGAGGCTCTAGTTAGACTGTTGGAGCTGCATGTGTGTAGCAATTTTAGCACTAACTACTCCGTAGATGGCAGGATTGTAGGTTTTGGATGACAAGGAACGAATGCTTCAATCTGCTTGTTTGTGATAGTCTTGGTCTCGATTTGAACTCCACTCAGCTTCGGTTCAATAGCATTGCAAAACGTATCCAGATTCCGATCACTTTTTGATTGTCTACTCTAACGAACGACACACTCGTCAATCATTTAGATTCAATTATCATTTCTGTTGAAACGATCATAGCTTGCAAATTGGCATTGTTTGGTAACACAACCAGGCAGAAAGGGC